GTGTGTGTGTGTGTGTGTGTATATATATATATATATATATATATATAATCGTGATTAATTCTTGCCTTTAGGTACACAACTACGTTTTTGAAATATATGATCGGAATGTTTATTATGACTTGAAACACTATTGACTGAAATTTAATACATAAGTACTTGAAGACCGTAGTGATCTGATATGTGAAAACTTTCTGTGTTGTTCGCGTTTGCAACATAGCATATTTTGCAAACCAAATTTAAGTGTTACAAGTGCTTAATATATATTCAATAACATAAATACATCTCATGAACTATATGAGTTTTATATTTTCGTGTAGCTATATACGCTGTGTCAGACTATCCTTTTGACGTTTGCCATGACTACCGTGGGCGCTTATATTTGAACTCGCAAGGAGGCTATAAAAACCGACACCGCATGTACATCAAGAGGGCGAGGACTATGCTGTACAGCGCACAATCTATGGTCTCAATAGATAGTGCAGGTAGCTATATTATTTTTAATAGAGTCAATGAGCTGTTGCGGGTCCCGTTCATTGTACAATTTCCACCCGAATACCGAGCTTGCACCTACTGTGGAAGACTAATAGTGCTGAACTGGGTTATTCACTGTCATATCGGCCTCCTAATCCGTCGCTATCTTCCTTTCTTTAAGTTGAAAGCCACCACCGGAGTCTGGGATGGGGCTTGTTTGACCTTGCCACGATGCTCTTTAATCAGAGGGAGGCTGCCTTTTCGGCCTGTGATGCTTTCTCTTTGTCGCGAAGCAAGCGTCTTAGAATTTTTCCAGAGGGATTCTGTACGGGGTTGGAGGAGATCACAAATGATAAATAGTTCACACTTAGTTCATTAATTTTCTTGTATTTAAATCCTCGAACTCAGGAACACAACCAGAATTTGAATAGCATGAATCTATCTTCAAAACGTACGTCAGAAAATACAGTTCTAAAGTAAATCCGAGTTGTAACCGTACCTTGGGAATAGCATCGATAAACTCAACTTCACACAGATGCTTATGCTTGGCATGGAGTCCATTCAGCCACTCTCTGATATTTTCCTCAGTCTCCGATGCACCCGCTGTCTTTACCACATACGCCTTGGGCAGTTCACCGGCGAATTCGTCGTAACGAGCGATGACAGCAGCATCACTGACACTCGGGTGAGAGATTAGATGATCCTCTAGCTCGGTTGGGGCGACCTGGATTGAATATGAGGCCGGCACAGATACATAAATTGGGTTGAATACTCCTGACTGACCATGCTAGCATTGACAAAGAAACTTTTTAAGGTATTCAAAATGCTCTGAGAAGCTTGCAATTCACGAGAAAACACTCGAGTCAAAGGTGGACACTCACTTCATCATTTTTTTAACTTGGTTTTTAAAAATAAAAGCGTATAAATAGGAAGAAATGATGTGAAATTTTGGCCATATTCGCACAGTAGCGGGCAGCATGTACACACACCTGAAGCCCTTTAACCTTGATTAGTTCCTTAAGACGGTCGTGGATGAAGAGATGGTTCTTCTCGTCCATATGCCCGACATCGCCTGTACAGTGTAGAGAACCATGACGAAACGAGGTCAATGCGGAATCCCAATACAACAATTCTTGTGACCACATGTCTCGAATTCATTTTCAAGTGCAATTAATCTTACCTGTGCGCAGGAAGCCATCGGAAGTCATAGTAGCATCGGTCTCTTCAGGTCGGTTGAGATATCCCAACATGACTTGTGGGCCTCGAATGCACAACTCGCCTACTTGTCCGGGAGTCACTTCGATCTCCTCGTGTGATTCAGGATCCAGGAACTTGGCCTCAGTGTTGGATACAAGCACACCCACACTGCCCATGGTGGGCTGATCAGAATCGAGATGGGACACAGGAGACTGTGATAGCCGAATCGTTTGACATTTGTTAGTATGATGCAGTAGAATTACGGTTCACAAAATTCGGCAGAAAATCCTATACATTTTCCATTGTAGGTAAACACGTTTGCTGAATTTTACCGATATTTCTTAGGGTACTGAGTACAATTCAATGTCATAAAATATTAGCAATCAGCACCTACCATTTCAGTCATTCCGTAGCCCTGTCGGATAGTATCTACCCATGGCAGTCTCTTCGCAAGCAGCTCAGCAGTGTCACGTCTGGTGAAAATAGCAAATGAGTATTGACCGGTAAAGCATATTATAAATATAGGCACAAGCATACCAATTCGACATGAGCGTTGAAAGCATCGCGTATACAAGTGAACAAAAACATTCTCGTGTACGTTAAGCCTGAAAGGTGACAAATTTAATCGAAAAATACCAAAACTGGTGCCTGAGAGAGTGATTAACTGGCTGTTGGTGTCAAAAGGTCCTTAGTGAGAATGTGCACGAGCATGAAACGCAACGAAAAGCCACACCACTTCATCAGTAACCATTCGATAAAAACGATATCCAGACATACCCGAGAGGTGCGGCGGCCGAGAAGATACTCTTGATACTGGTCAGATCATAGTTATCCACCAGTGGATGTTTAGCAAGGAACACAACCAAAGGTGGTACAATGTGCATCAATTCGATCTTGTCATTCTGGATGGTCTCCAGGAACTCAACAGGGTCGAAGGCGGGTAAAATCGACATAGTCCAGCCTGATCGCACACCGATGTTGCCACACATGAGCAAACCGTACCTATACGAATCAAGAAATTAAATCGGTGTTGGTGTATATAAATATAGCATGGCGCATATAATACACCAGATATTCGATG